AAAGAATATAGACTAATAACATGCAAAAAGTAGACAAATTCACTTACTTCTAAAATTTTCCTGGCTTTCTAACTATGCGACAAGAGCCATAAGAAATTCATCCAAGCTAGTCATTAACTTTCCACGGGAACGATGTTGCTATTGAGAGTGACATTGATGGTTATCTATTCAGAACACAATGTTATACAATATGCTATTTGATAGATGAAAGCCTTGACCTTCTATTGGTTATAAATAATATACAATGAAACGTAAGAGAGAACTATCAACCACTTGTGAAAGAGAGGATGTGGCAGGAGGGGTCTGATTTTCTCTTTGATAGCTTTGTAACAAAACAAAATTGAAGGCAATAATAATTATGGTCTTTTTGAGCAATAACTATTTTATAGAGAGCATTTTAGTTTAATTTCATACATTTTCGAAGGGTGATGGATGAAATAGGGATGATGACATGCTAAGCCAAAATTTGTTGTGTGTGTTACACTAGTGGAAATTCAGGATTTTTTTATATATTTCCTTTTATAATTAAGAACTTAAAACTTGTATACTATTAAAATATGGATTATTAGCTAAGATTTTATGCTATTCTAATTGGTATAACATAAACAAAAAGTAGTTTAATAACATTTTGAATGTAAGACACTAAAACCTTGGCACAGTAAAGGGTACCCATGCCGATAGGGTTAACTATTTTCATTTGAAATGAAGAAATTAAGACTTTGATAGTATAAATACTGGAATTATAACCTACATTTTTATGCCAAGCTTACTGGCATACACTGTTAATAAAGCTGTTTTATTAAATATTGAATGTAGCTCTTTGTAAAATGGTTGTGGCATGAACATTTTTTACATTTACTGGCATGGAGTTAAACCCTACAGTTATTAAAAAATAGAACCTGAATAGCTAATAGGATACACTATTTGTTGTGTGAGACTCATAATGTAGGTAAATTAATATGTAGAGTTATACACTGATATTTCTCTACATTAAAATTCTTTTATTTGCGAGCTTTTGGCCCTCGTACTGGTGCTTTCATTAATGTTGCCCAATGAAGGTTCCAGTAAGAGGTCCAAAGGTTCACAAATAAAAGTATTTTAATGCAGAGAAAACTCCATGTATAATTCTACATTATACACCATTTGTAAAAATACTACAGTTACTAAAAAATATTGCATTTATAATTAGTGAGGTACAACATCAATTAAAATATTGATGTTGCAAAAAAATGATATTTGTGAAGTTGTTGTAATATTCTTTCTATTAAACACTGTATCTGTTAGGAAATATCTTTTGAGCCATTACCTTAATAAGGATGTAGGACCTCTATAGTTATTAGAATATACCATCTGTTAACTCTCTCACCACAGGATTGGTCAGTTTGTCTGAGTTCAGGACCCAAAAAATACCATACTATAACTTCCAATATGTTTTGTGTATCTTCACAAAATTTTGCAAGTTTTCAATAAACATTATAAGTCTTTTGTAAATAAAAAAGTCAGAATTTCTAATTAAGCATTTTAACAAAAATTTCTCCAAAGTGTGGCTCCTTCGAGTGATTTTTGTGTTAAGATTAACCGTATGACTACTGGGACATATACAATTTGTGGGACCTAATGTTGCTACCATTATATTTAACTCAAAAAAACAAAACTAGTGGATGAAATTGTTTGAAATATGACAAGAACCTTCCTAAAAGTATGTAGTTTCAAAAAAAATAAAATATTTAATTTTGTTTTTTCTACTATTTCTAATTAAAAATTCGTTATTTAACTTTTTCAGCATGGAATTGATCACTGGTACCAACTTTGTAACTATTTTGTGCTTGTTATAGTTTTCATGCTATAACTTTTAAATTAGTAAGCGAATGTTAACGAAAATTTGGCAGATTTTCCGTAAACATTAGAATGCTTTCATATGCAAAATACCAAATTATTTTTATTAAGTCCTAAGGTTTATAAAGCAATGTTTTCTCATGTCTTTTTTTCTTTTTGCATGTTGCCTATCTATCTTGCAAAGTAATATTCATTTTAAGATAAAAAATACTTTTATGGATCCGAAAATTTTAGAAATTTAACATGCCAATTCTTTATAATGTCCAGATAGTTATCAAACATTTCTTAAGAAAAAACTATATTTTATATGTTATTTTCTGTAATTAATCTCTGTACGGGTTCAGTGGATTTGAGCGATCTCGCAACCACCATAAAAAAATTAGGAAATATATATAAATTATGCCTCTTTCATTCTAGAATGAATAGATTATAACACAAAAACATAAATGTTTAGACTAAATCGCTTAAATCTCATAACATTATACATTTATATATACATATATTTATTATTTTGTTATATTGACCTTTCATCCATGCCTGGCTAACAATACAGAAGTTACAATGATGGGGCGCTTGTGCACTTATGTTACTGTATCAAATAACATAAAGGTGACTTTTGGTCGGTACAAAGT